ACTCAACAGGGTCTTCTCTTTTCCCCGCTTAGCCCTTCAAGTCCGTTCCCTTGACTGCCGTTTCGCTAGATAGTAACTCGGGACAGAGGGAATCTCATTGACCTATCTACGTGCGTGACCCCAATCGCACCACAGGGCAGTGGACCAGCGTAAAGGAGCCACACCTCCACTCCAGTCGCTCACACACATGTCGATGGATATCACCACGCCGTCAGTCAAGGCACCCCACACAGGCCGCAGTGGAGCGGTCCAGCAACACAACGGTGTCCTTCCCACTCACAGTGCACGCACACACAATGACAGTCTCACATGCTCATATCAGAGTGGCACTGCGGCATTCCCTAAAATGCACACGGAGTCACACACCTACAGAGAGGAAAAGAAAAACACAAAAAAAACAACAACAGGATACCAACAGCACACAAAGCACTCACAATACAATAATCACAGCTGACACTCTCATCAGAAAAAAACATTCACCCACACCAGCACATCAACTCAACCCCCCAAAAGAAAAAAAACAGACCCATTACGTGAAGCCAAAGCGGAACAGTCTCAGTCCATCTCCCCGTAGGGTGCAGTCACTCAAGCAATCCTCACAACAAACAACACACACCACAAGGGCAGTAATAACTCCGTGGCAATGCCGTGAGTGACACCACCGAGAGAGAAGATGAGAACAAAGAAATGTGTTTTCATCACGTGGGCGGTGTGCGTAGCAACCCAAACACACAAAGGAACACACAACAGAGGGACACACTCAAACACCAACAACCCACCAATCTTTATACCAAAATAAAAATGTAAAAAAAAGAGTGACTGCATGAGGCAGACACAATAATAGAGCAAAGATGTAAAAAATGAAATTCATTACTTAATCTAACTGCGATGCCTGGACGCAGTCCAATTCACCCCAAAGTTAACAACGGAAAATCATTGTGTACTGATCGTGCCGCGCCCATATCTTTATTCTTGATGTCCCTGCAGCAGTTTGTATATAATGAAAAAAAAAAAATCATTTCACAATGATGAGCACACAAGGTACACAAGGTGTATCAGAAACGCAAAAGAGAAACACACACATGCACATAATGTGCAATGTAATTATAATGAAAAACACACACACACACGAGGGAAAAAACAAAAAAAGAAAAAAGCCGTGATCACCATATGAATATGTTCAGGAGACAAGCAACACAATTCCCAGCAGTAGGTGTGTGTGTGCCTTTCGTACAGGGCGAGCAGTGGGAATGATGCACACATGATGACAGTCCACACACACACACAAAGAAAAGGAACGTTGGCAGTGTGCGTGTTTGTTTGTGTCTTGAACCTCCTGCCATTCTTCACACTTCAGTCACAGCAATTAAAACACATTGGGATTGTATCCCATTCCCATGGGTAAAAGCAATAGTTAGTAATATCACGGAAGACACATACATCACCAGGAGGACACAATAAATGGCGGCAAAGCAGTTCCCAGATAATTCCAACAAACAAAGAGTACACTCTCCTCACAAAATGATGGTTTGTCATCTGATGAGTGTCATATGGAGTCCAATAGATGTGTTCAGCACAATAATGCAAACAAGAGATTTATCAAACTGAAAAAGAAAAAAAGTAACATTAAAATTCTAAAAGGAACAGTGCCCTTACAATGCATCCATATCCACTCAAACAAAGGTCAACTGTGCAACTGTCTCGTGGGAACACCGATCAACAAACGCGAGTGTAGCCCAACACAGACAGAACAAGAAGCAACAGTAAGGGACTGTGCATCAATGCGGGACTGACGCTGTTGTCATTCCCATTCGTGACTGCTTGGGCCACTTCCGCATCTACTCTTGCATTCCCTGCCCCTTCATTTTCGTTTTCGGCCGCTCCCCCTTGTTCATTGTCCTTCTGTGGTTTTTCTTCCGCCCGTTCACCGTTCCCCTCCTGTCCTTCTTCTTTTTCCTGAACACTCTGCCCGTCTGATTCAACCTCTTGTGTCCCTTCTATTCCCGATGACGGCTGCTCTTCAACCACAGTCCCCTCTTGTTCCTTAACCTCTTTCTCTTTTTCTTCAACCAGCGCCCCCTGTATCTGACGCAGATATCCTTTTGCTTCTACTGTCGCCATCTCCAGTTTTCCACGAACGATGTCAACTCTCCCCTCTGCTACCTTCTCCACCTCTTCATCGTTGATGCTTCTTGAAATATCTGCGAGCCCTACGACACCTTCCAAAGTCGACTTAATACCTTTCACTTCTTCATTCACGTCACCACTGCGTTGACCGTGGAGCCTAAATGGTTCGAGTCTTTTTACCGCGGGATTGGCACGTACCGTGAGGTTGAATAACGCCTCCTCTGCTATTGTGCTGTTCTTTACGAGTCTTTTTCTTTCCGGCGTCTCGTCTCGCCGTGCATCCAGAAAACGCCTTCGAGCCTCGGCAACCTTCCCCTTCATACCATCCAAGTACTGGATTTGTTTCACACAAGGTCTTTCCCATAGTCCCAGGTCCACGAGTGATAACTTCATGCTGTTAATGGCTTTTATACGTTCTTGTATTCCATCCCTTATTTCCTTCTTCCGCGTAACATCTGGATCCAACACTCCTTTCTCTTCCCCTTTTAATAGCTTGATCTCTTCAAGAAAACCCTTGATGTCATCCGCAGCACCTTGAACACGCCTGGAGTTTTCCTCGCACGATTTCACCCCATCCTCCAAAAAAGACAGACACCCATACGCGCGCTCAATGTGCTCATACGCCTTGGCTACCGTCTCGTATAACGACCGTTCCACGTCTGCTTCAGTTGACACGGTGGTTGATGAATCCCGCGCAACTCCGCTTTCACCCGTCGCATGGGCCACACAAGTACAGAAGTACAAAAGTACCAACAGGTACACCACACGGCGCAGTTGGACGAAGATCGCTGTCATGGTTGTAACTGTGGTTTGCTTGGATCTGTAGTAACAAGAAAAAAAAAAGGAGAAAAGAGTCGCACATTTAACACACAAGGTAGAGGGCGTACATCAACACAGAAAGAACGAGAGAGTAACATCATAACAATCCAATGAAGGACCGACAAATACAACACACAACGCAGGGTAACGTGACGCAGGCAATCAATCTTACCACTTCACATAAAAACAAATACACACCGGAATCCCTTGCGGCTGCCAAAACAACACCCCAATCACGAACGAAAAAAAATCCACAAATACATTAAAAAAGAAACGACACCATGGGAATTTACCCACAGATCCCAGGTATACCACTCGACAATAATATACAACGTGCCTCTATCTATCTTTCACCGATGGCTCACCCCCATTTCTCGAATGGTCGGCATCCCCTCAAACTGTTATAAGACCACTGAGGAGATACCAGCAAGCACAGAACCTCATCTCAAACAGTACTCAAGGAGCACCCCCATATGAACGTTAAATGTCTTTTTTCTTTTTTGTTCTTCGTTTCTTTATGTATATTACTCCAATGGTACGGCTATCAACCGTACACCGTAAAGCACTTTAATTACTGACTTGAGAGTGGCTCCGAAGAGGAAGAAGATCCCTTCATTTTATGGGATCCTCAAGCTCTTGTAATTTGATTTTTGGTTGTAGCCCGTTCCCAAACGAGAGAACCAGTCTACGAGAAATCCGATCGAGTGAACTCCACCAGATCTCTTTACTCTCACTGTTCTTACCCAAAACCCGTCCTCAAGTCTCCTTTTGTTATTATTTTTGTTATTTTTGGATTTTTTTTAATAGATTGGCCTCAATGAACTCCCATTTATTTTGTTGCTTGTTGGGTCGGCGGCCGACGTCTCGAGCGTACTCTTCTATCAGGGTTTCCATGCTCGAGCTCGTCGCTGATTTTAGAGATGTGGGGAAGCCTCACAGTGGGGTAGGTAAGCTGCGAACGTTAAATGTGACACCCCAACCCATCAGCCATCACAACATCCACACGTCAAATTCCCTGTAGTTTCAACACGGGTGCACGCAACATCGGCACCCCCCACTGCAAAGAACTGCACGGACGGTTGTCACCACACCCATTACCTCATGAACACATCACAATGATGGGTGTCTATTGTGCGCACACGTTCATTACAAACGCCTGTCTCCCGCTCCTCTTTGTGTGTATTGGACCCGTGGCGCATATCAAAAAATACACGAGTGACCCAGTCGGAAATAAAACCTCCAAACACCACGAGATCACGGACACCATCAGGTGAGCAACCGCAGGCCAAAGTCGGGCGGCATCACCTGAAATCGCACATCACTTTCATAATGCCGGAGATTGGGAACAACAACCATTGCATGGGATGTGAAAACACACTCGCGAGAGGAAAAGAAAGATGTACATCATCAACAGAACTCGAAACGAACACGCGACCCCAGAGCACAAGAACTGGCGAGAAGTTCACCTAGACACCGTGAACAATGTCCACGCAATCAAGCACAAGAACAATCAAAACCAATGAACAATGTTCTCATAAAACGAATAAACCGGGGAAACGTTTACAGCATACCCACAACACATATGCGCACAGAATTCCTGTCACCCCTTCCGCACAACATAACCCCTACAATGCATATAAGAAAGGTACGATCCAACATATGCCCTTCCACCCCTCCTGGGCCAGCCCACCCCATGGGAGGCAGAGTCCCACAGCCAGAGCGCAACGCGCGGTGCCGCAAACAAAAGCGCAACCAGCACCAGCACATGTAGAAAACACAAATCACGACGGCAAAAACCAGATGGCGCGCCTGGCACCCCCAAAAAAATACAGGTGTGGGGGTCCAACCCCGCCACACGGACAAGTCCGAGACGGCCCGGGACACCACCAAGGCGGAGCAGCACAACGACACAGAGGCTACGAACGACCAAAAGAAGAATAAAAACCAACAGAACGCCAAAATAGCAGAGGCGCAACTATTGTAGAGGCCGCCTGCTTCGACCAGAAAACTGCCACCCCACCCCGGCGCCACCAGCTGGCCAAAGTTGTGACAGACGGCGGCGGCGACGCCACCAGGCCGGCACAACCCAAAACACCGGAACAACCCAACACCTAAAAGGGTTAGCTTGTGTGCGAAAATGCGCCCCAACACCACCGTAACGAGGCCCAGTAGAGCACGGAGGCGGGAAACGCACGGCACTCGCAAAACTGAAAATTCACCCCGGAGACCCCCCCACCCCCCCGGGAGCATAATATGTTCTTTTGCGGGTATTTCGGGTGCGACCATACTTGGCCGAATGCACCATATCCCGTCCGATTTGTGAAGTTAAGCGGCCACAGGCCTCGTTAGCACGGCGACCTCTCACTGTGCCGGAACCCGGGGTGCCGTACCCTCCTCAATTTTTTTTTTTTGCCAACATCATGGGGTGGGTGCCGCGGACCTCTGATGCCAACCACGGCGCGCCTTTGGCAATGAGGGCTGCCCCATCGCGGCGCCCAGCTCACGCGCCTCCATCTCCCAGGGAAAAGCCAAACATACCTCACCCATTGTTGTGGTGGGGCAGGCGGTGGGGTCCCAACAAACCGAAATACCTATGGGGCGAAGTGTTCTTATGGGGGAAGGTGTTCTTGTTGTGCTTATTTTTCCTTTTCTGCATTTCCCATGGGTTTCCTTTTCACACCACACATGGCAGTAGCGGAACGCCTTAACACATCACCATAGCGGAATTTGCCTTTATCATGGGGGTTTGGTGAATTCCTTTTCCCTTTGTTCTTTTTGTTCATGGCGTGGGCCATCCAACAGCACCTTTTTTTACTCGGTGGCACGCGGCACCATGTCACGAGGTGAACGGGGGAAGGGTCATCTTTTCGGAATACCTTTCAAACCCATCTTACTCAGCGTTAGAGTGGGGAAAGCAAAGAGTTTTCCACTATCCCCAACCCCACTCGTTTTATAAGTGAAACACCCCAGGGAGCCACCCCACCCCTCTTCTTCTTGTTGCGCACAAGGCGCTGTGGCAAGTTGGCCGCCCGCCTTGGGTTGTGGAGGTTGTGTTCTCTCCTCTCCCTTCTTGGGGTGAGGGGTAAAAAAAAGAAAAGGGCAAAACCCGACAACGAGCCTCGAGCATTGCGCGCGTAGACTGGTTGCCAGGTTTCATCCCTTTTTCATTTCCTCATCCCCACTCTTCTTTTTCTCTCAAGTTCAAAGTCCCTGAGCGTGTGATATTTCAGGCCTCAAGGTTCAGCGCCTCGGGA